GTTTTTTTGTTTTTGTTGTGGGATCGTTGATAATTTGTTTAGTTTTTGGGTTTTTTTAGAGTTGGGGGGTTTGGCTTTAGTTCCTTCTTTTTTTTATAAAGTTGGTGGAAGGTTTCATTCTTTTTATGGTGGTTTATTTACTTATGTTGTTGTTTCTGGTTTTTCGTCTGTTTTGTTAGTTACTGGTTTTTTGTTTGTGGAACTTTATTATTTTGTGTTATTAGGCTTTATTGTTAAGTTTGGGTTATTTCCTTTTAGATTGTGGGTTTATCGTGTTTTTTCTAGTAGTAATTGGTTTTTTATATTTTTGTTGAGTGTTGTTATGAAGTTTCCTGTTTTGTTTTTTTGTTTTTTGTTTGGTGGTAATTGTTGTACTGGTTTAGTTTATGTTGATTGTTTTTTTACTATTTTTCTGTGTTCTGTTTTTGTTTGATTTTTTAGTAATAGTTTTGAATATATATGGTGTCATATTTCATTGTCTTCTGTGTCTACTTTAGTTGTTGCTTGTTTTTGTAGTGATTTTTTTATGTGTAGTTTTATTTATTTTTACTATTTTGTTTGGGCAATTTGTTGTTTGGTCTATTTTTATTATTTAAGGAGATGTGGTGGTTTTTTTGGGTTTAGTTTTTGGGTCTATTGTTTTTTATTGTTGGTTACTCCTGTTTCTCTTCCTTTGTTTTATAAGTTGGGTGTTTGTGTTTCTATAGTTTATTCTTCTATTTATTTGATTGTTGTTTGGAGTATTTATAGTTTTTCTGAGCAAATATTTCTTTATAAGTTTGGTAGTGATAAATTGTATTCTTCAGTTTATAAATGTTGGGTTTAGTATAGTAATGTAGTTTATTAATAAAATTCTTATTTTACACGTAAGGGAACTTTTTTAAGCTTTACTAAACAAAGTAATTTATAATGAGAATATTAGGTTTGCGTCTTAAATGAAGGATTTTCCTCTTTGTTAGCAATTTTAGTTTAATTAAAATGGTGGTTTGTCTAACCTTTGATGATATTATTTTTATCAAGTTGCTTGATATGGTTTTTTCTGTTTTTTGTGGTGGTTTTGGTTTGTTGATTAGATTGTTGGTTATTGCTTTTTTTATTTTAGGTGAGCGTAAGATTTTAGGATATTCTCAATATCGTAAGGGGCCTAAAAAGGTTGGTTTTATGGGTTTGTTGCAAAGGTTTGCTGATTTGATGAAGTTAGTTTTTAAGTTTAAGTTTTATTTTTTTCATAGACGTAGTTTTGTTTCTGTTGTTGGTGTTTTATTATTGGTTGGTTTGGTTGTTTTTTATTGTTTAGTGTATGGTTCTTATTATTGTGAGGTTAATGGTGGTTTGTCTTTTTTGTGGTTTTTAGTTATTACTAGATTTGCTAGGTATGCTTTGTTGTGTGCTGGTTGGGGTAGTTATAGAAATTATTCTATGTTAGGTTCGATTCGTAGTGCTTTTGGTTCTGTTAGTTTTGAAGCTTGTTTTATGTGTGTTGTTATTTTTTTTTCTTTGTGTTATGGTAGTTATACGTTGAGGGATTATTTTGGTAATTGATTAGGTTGTTTGGTTTTTCCTGTTATTTATGTTTTGTATTTAATTTGTATATTATGTGAAACTAATCGTACTCCTTTTGATTATGCTGAATCTGAAAGTGAGTTGGTTAGTGGGTTTAATGTTGAGTATAGTGGTATTTTTTTTACTTGTTTGTTTGCTTGTGAATATATTATTATATTTGTTTTTTCTTGAATTGGTTCAATAATTATGGTTGGTGGTGGTTTTTTTGGTGGGTTTTTGTTGTTTTTTCATTTGTTGTTTTTTATGTGGGCTCGTTCTACGTTACCTCGTATACGTTATGATTTTTTTGTTAAATTTATTTGGTCTGTGGGATTAATTTTATTGTTGTTTGGGTTTTTTATTATTGTTGTTTAATTATTTTTGTCTGTGTAGATTATATTAAATCGTGATGCTGTTAACTTCAAGAAGGGATTATTTCTTCATAGTCGTCTTACCTTAGTTTAATTAGAATGATGGTTTTGGGGATCTTTGGTCTTTGTTTAAAGAGGTTTGGTTTATTTGAGCCAATTGGGCTGCTTTAGCAGGCTACTTTGATATAGTAGATTGTAAACATTTGTTTCTTTGGTAAGATTTGTCCATATATTCTAAATTTAAGTGCTGGATTCTTACTTCAGTGATGTGATTTTATCACTATGGGTTGTTATGTTTATTGTTTTCGGTGGTTTGCTGATTTTTTTTTTTT